GTCCTCGTGAATCTGTTTCATAACGTCAAGGGAAGCGCCCCTGATACGTTCACTCCTCACACATTTCGTGATGTACAGACGCGTGCAGTCTGTCATGAGGCGCCGGATCGAGATGCTGCTCCGTGGGGGTGCCGTCGTGGCCATGATATCTAGGCTAGGTGGATCCGGGACAATAGAACCAACAACAAAAACGTCATCAAGACGCCCTCATGAGATGATAGTAGTTGATGATTGGCTGATTCGTGTGACTCCCGAAGCGAGAAAATGGAACGCGCCGAGACTCAAACGTAAGATTGACAAATTGCTCAGGAAGATTGGCAACACGTCGCAGGTTGTTACTTTGGCGGAGGTCCAGAAGATAATAGACACCTCAGCAAAGATCCAGGACAAACCCGTTTCTAAAACTCCACAGGGCAGACATATGCAGGAGGAAGATGAAATAACGCCGCCTGAGGCGGCCATCAAGATTACCAACCAACAGCCTACGCCTGAAACGAGCCTTGATAGCGAAGCAAAGGCCGAGCTGCGACGGAAAGCCCTCGATGCACCCGGCCTCAAGCATGGGGTTCAGCAGAGTGGAACGACTGAGAAGGGAACATCCGCTACACCAGTAGGAAGTCGTGACCATTATGACGAGAACTGGCTCAAAAACTGGCTCATCCAAAACGACATGGCAACCCCTGATGACCTGAAGATGGTTTCGTACCGCGGCTGGCGCATTCATTCGCCCAAGATCACGCTCATTCGTATCAAAAACTTTCTGGCCGATGAGGATCTCGACCGCACTCTACTTTGGACGAGCCAATGTAGTGAGATCCTCCTCTACCTACAACATCTACAGGAGAACGTATACGATGGGCAGGACTGGGGATACGACCTTGACGAGGTCATCAACATGCTCCAGACACACTGGCTGTACGAGCAGCACCACTACAAAGAGCCGGAGCTCATCCTCAGCTTTGAACCGGTTGAACATCCCAAACGGCTGCAAGCACCTCCCAACGCACCCATCATCATCATTACTGATAGTGAGGAGCAAACGGGACCGCTCAAGCCGCGATACTTACAACACCGCGTCCCTGAATCGGTCCATGATGTGGACTTTCAGATCCCCGGCCCCCTGCTGCGCACCCGTTTTCTGACCTGGTTCCGAGAGGACCTGACGCGCCTGTGGCACTTTGATGACCCGGCGAGGCCCCTTGTCGGCGGCATCGGCTCGGGCGCTCGCGGAGACAGCATGTTTGAGTATGGCTACAACCCAGACTTCAACTCAGCCGAGGTGGCCGACGACCGATTCGTCAAGTGCATGTCCCTGGGCACTTCCGAGACGGCCCGCACCCTTCGCGAGGAGTCCAACTTTTACCTGGCCCACAAGGACTTCATTGTGGGCAAAGAGGGAGTCCTGTTGCCAACCGGCCACGCCGTGCGGCGCTTTGCCGACTTCCGCGGCGCCAAGAGGGCCGCGCTGCAGCAGTGCATCGAGCACTTTGGGATCGTTGACGGCGACGTCGATGCCGCGGACGCCGGCGCGGAGCACTTCCGCAAGCTCGTCCTGCCGACGCCCTGGCGCGAGAAGGAGCGCATCCGGGCCGAGGCGCAAAAGATCACCGTCTTCCCGCCGCTGGCGCTCAAGGAGCCGCCGGCTGGGGAGAAGATTGACCCCTTTGGGTTCGTGTACTGGCACGACCAGATGCTGCGGAACCACGAGGAGCGCGCGCGCAACGTCATACCGAGCATGCAACAGGGCCACGCCAAACGCTTCGCCGCCGACAAGCTCTCTGTCTTGCCGAGCTGGAACTTCATGGGTCCGTTCAACCCGACCCTCGTGCCGCGTCACATCGACATCAAGCATGCACAGGGCTACGCGTTTCCGCAACATGATCACACAGGTTGAGGTCGCCAACCGCAGGGCGCCACGAAAGCTACTCGATGATATACTCGAGAACTTTCGCCTCGGCTGTGAGGTTGGAAAGCCGGCGCAGGACGTCTTAGACGAGCTCGACCGGCAGAAGAAAGACCTACCAACTGGCGAAGCGTATCGTCCCATCTCGCCCGATGACCACCACTGGATGAGATTTGTCGTGGGGCCATCGACAAATGACCTGCTGATGGAGGAGATCAAAGACAACTTCGAGTACTGGCGATTTGACGTCTTTAGCGAGCGCCTGCAGGTACTGCTCAACGATCCCTATGAAGACGCATTGCTCGCAAGGGCGGGCCAGTACAGGACGTTGGAGCAGATATGCCATGAGATCAACAGCTTCGCGGCCACCAACCCGCTGCAGGAGGCGCTGTATTCGAAAGAAGAGGCGGAAGAATACTGCGACTATTTGGTCTCGACAGGTCGACTCTCGCAGTCCCGCAGCGGCAAGGACAAGTCGATCCTCTTCGGCCGCCCAGAGCTGCCTTATCATCCGGAGCTCCGCATCAACTTTTACGTGCCCTCTATTCACGTCAACCCCCTCTTCCCGTCGCGGCCAGAACAGGAACTGCCGGCGCCAGAGGCGCCCCTCCTCGACTGGAAGGCCGCTCTCGTCGCTGCTCTGCCGCTGATCGCCTCATTCATCGATGCGTCGGGCCCATCGCACGAGGAACGCGTCTCCCTGGCTTACCGCACCCTCGCCTACCGCCTCGGCAGCTGGACCGTCATCTTGGAGGGCGAGGTCGAGACGGCATACGCAGAACTCAAGGCTCAAGGTGCGGACCAGGGTTTCAGCATCCCGGTGGACCGGTACCGCGTCCAGATCGATGACCTTCACGGTATTTGGCGCCAGGAGGTCACGTCACAGGTTGATGAAGTCGGCGCCGTCAGCTACGCCAGCGTTGCGAAGGCGGCAGATCCCGGAGCGGCGCACAACTGGGAAGACTGGGCAAGTGGCACGTGGCATCCCGAAGCCATCGAGGCTGTCCGCACAGGGCTGATCAAGGAGCTCTCGGATGGAGACAACATGCTCTGGCCTGTGAGGCCGCGGTGGGAAGGGGAGCCTGGCAAGGAGACGATGACGCTGGCGAGGGAGGATATCTGGGACTTTGGCCGTCAGGGCGTCAGAGGCGGGAACAAGCAGAAGAAGCAGTTCTTCAGCCTTGACAAGTGGCCGCTGCACCTCCAGAGCGAGGTGACGCAGAGGAAGATTCGCGCATCAGGGCCCAATCCCTTGCCGCCGCGACATGACGAGAACGACGCGGGCAAGGGGAAAAGTAAAAAGAGTACATCACGGGGAGTGAAGGCGAGCGTAACTCTAGAAGATGAGACGGCTGTCGAAACGGGGGTTCAAGATACGGAACCAGCCGTAGTCGATAGCTCAGAAGATGAGCTTGGCCTGAAACTACACTTGGCGGCCGATCCAAAGCGGCAGTTCATCGCCGACGTGTCTGGCTACCGCAAGGGTGACACGCCACGGCAAAAGGCAGCAGTTGACGAAGCTATATTGGACGAGATGAGAGAAGGCAAGTGATCACCTCCCTAGCTGTCCCCCCCACTCCCCTTTTTGTTCTCCAAGCCCGACACTATCTTCTTCACCTGAGATAGCGTCTCCAAACTTCGCCACATCATTCATGAACAGTCAAGATGGTACCAATACTAACAGTCGCAGTCTTTGGTGGTTCACCGAGCGAGATCATCCCTCGCCGCCGTCGCTGGTGGAAAATCTGGGGCAATGATTCCGAGGACGAGTCCAGCGAGCCGGTCCGGGATCCAGCCAAGTCCATTTTCGGGTTTCCAGCCCTCCAGCCTGATCAGATACCTAGGAGCGTTCCTAAAGCGAAGCGGGACGACGCGAGACCCCAAAGACGCCTGGGACAGTCCCGTGGTTGATCATTTCAATGTTCACAGCAAGCCAAACGTAAGTTCCTAGGCTGGTGAGCGGGAAGGCACGCAAAGAAACGGGTGTTCCGACATGTATTTAGACTCGTTTTCTGCATTTACATACTAGGTAGTCATCTCAGGGCGTGTTGAATAGTTGCGTGGTCTCCATCGCCTGCCAGGCTTCCAGTTTCGTGAGATATGATGCGAGCGGAAACGTAGGCCTCGTGCAAGATAAGTCGAGTGCATACCAAGATCTCGCGTATATCTGTTACTGTCATGCCTATGACGTGATTTGACTGAGACGCCTCCCAAGAGAGGAGAGCGCCATCACTCGCAAAGTCCAAAAGCTGCCTGGCAGCCTTGCCCACAGTACTCGGTTGTACTGCCGCAATACCCGTACTGACTACAACACTGATGCTCTCCGTAACCTCGGCACGTCGCTTTGCCTGCGCCGCAGCTGCCGTCGGAACTGATTGGCAGACCCTGTGCATTGGCGGGAGGTGAGATGGCGGCTGGCTGCGTGCCACAGTGGCCGAACAATCCCTGACAGCCGCTTCCGCAGTGAGCTTCTGTGAGACCGCAGTAGTTGTACTGGCTACAGCATTCGCCGCCGGAGCAAACGCCCTTGCTCGGGCCGCAATTTGGAGCCTCACCGACTGGAGTTGCTGACGGGCTGGGTTTTACAGCTTGCGTCTGACGCGAAGGTATTAGCCTGTCTTGTAAAGAATCATCACATTGTTGACCCACCCTACAACCCCCAGGGTAGTTTCCGACGGCGACCAGGTGCTTCTTGAGGAAAGCGTGATATGTGTAACCATGTTGGCGGTTGTTCTCCGAGTAAGTGGCTTCCCAGACCGCCATGCCACCAAACTTTGATCGGCAGTAGAACGAGTTTATGAGGTTCCCAGCTTGATAAGGCGAGATGTAGTTTTCTAGGTTTGCCGCTTCAGGGCTGCCGGGAAGTGTAATGTAGATGGCCGCATCCTTGCTTGGCGTGTCAGAAAGCCACGATGTCTAGTCGTCGAATGTGAAGCCCGCCATGTTGGAGGGCATGCCCGGAATGAGATTGACATTGGCCTTGGCCCAACTGGCCGCAGAACAGTGCGGCGTATTGTAAAATTGGATAAAAATTATGTCAAATGCGGCAGCGGAAATCATCGAGGCCATGTTGGCGTCTGGTACTATGCACTGCGGAGATGCGGTAAGAAAGTATCGTTTCGTGGCCATGGGGAAGTAGCTGCGAAGGCGAGTTGCCAATCGGTTATATCCGACTGAATTATCTACGATCGTGTTAATCCCACGCGATTGAAATGTGCAGGCTCAGCCACCTTCAGATGGGTGCTCAATATCCATGTCGAACCCGTCAACCTCGACGGCTTGGTCCTTGAAGTCGAGCGGGCGTGGAACGCCCTGTGCCACCAGGGTCTCATTACGCGGACCAAACATGACCCAGAGCTGATCGGCCAGTAGATCAGCTTCTTGGATGCCGGTAAGTTGGTAGGAAAGCATGCCCCCGCCAACAGAGAGTATAATCTTCTTCCCATATGTCTGTTGACAGACGGGTATCTGTGCATTGATGGCAGGGCAGTTGGCTAGTAGGGCATCACGACGCGGCTCGTTCACACCATGGAAGCCTGGACCGGGAAAGACGGCACGACCGCACTGGTTGCCGAAGTTGATGCCCAGGAAACCGTTGGCTTGCGCCGGGAAGAGATGTACAAAGGAGAGAATAATGACGTCGACGTGGGACTGCTGGCAGTAATGTATCAGGTCCAATTGATTGGGACCTTGGCCCTGGAATATCGTAAGCCTCAGGTGACACGTGTGACAAGCATCAAACAATCAAACAAACCCAATAGAGAACGACATTATTCTTGGATTCGGCGCAAAACTTGGCGAGGCAACCCGACAACAGGAGGCTGATGATGGCCACGCGTTGGATGGTTGACACAAGACTGCAGAGCTGCATCATCGAGAGGGCTACACTAGGTTATTCGCAAGCGAGCGTCGAAACGAATGGAATGGATCAAAGAACTTGGGTCGCGTCCTCTGGTGGTGACAAGGCTTTGCGAGAGGTTACGCATTACTGTCGTGACAAAACCATAACGGCCGATGCTCAGCCTGCTTCAAAACGGCAAGAGCCATGGAATTCAGGCAGGCAGCTGCGGGTTGCGAAATTCAACGAACGGCACTTGCGATCAAAGGCAACTTCCCTGTCCTTCTGGGGGCAGGCGCGGGCGCAGGCGCGACGCAATGCGTGTGCCTGCCTGCCTCCGCCTGGAGCAACACCCTTCCTGCGGACCAAGTCACATCAACTTCGTTTCAGCGCCTTTGCGGCACAGACAAAGACCAAAACACAACGCCAAGTCGAACTGACGGCCTATTCGTGAAGGTGCCCTCCAACAAAGTCCGCACTATCATCCAACTCCGCAGCCAACTGCCAGGCGGAACAATTTCAGCCCGATAAATTGGAAGGCAGGCAATGGGCCGTGATCCTACAGTCTTGGGAGCATACGACGACATATGTCTGGCTGATTGCAACAATACTTAAGATCATCGACTCACAGGGCAGATAATATCGACAAGCGATCGGCCTACTACAGCAGCAAAGCCATTCAACGTCATCACTCACCACTACGACTGATCAAACATGGCCGACATCCCCACGACGAAGCGAGCTTTGGTGGCGCCCCGGTTCTGTGGCCCGCGTGACTTTGAGATTGTCGATAGGCCTCTGCCGGCCATGACCAAGCCAGGTCATGTTCTCATCCGCGTGCATGCTTGCGCTCTCATGGCGGGCGACTGTGTCCGAGCCCGCGGCACTCCGATCATTCGTCTCAAAGTCGACTTCCCCATGGAGCTCGGCGGCGAAGGCGCAGGCATCATCGTCGCCATCGGCTCCGGGGTCAAGAGCTTTAAGGTTGGCGACGCCGTATACGGCACGTTGATCACACGGCCACTCCTTGAAGATGTCAGCTCGGGTTTCTGCTCCGAATACACCGTCGTGGAGGAGCGGATGCTGCTTCTCAAGCCTGCAAGTTTGAGCTTTGAGGACGCTGCCTCTCTACCAGGGTATGCCGTGACCGTTTACCAAGCCATCACGCGAGGGCTAGCCATGGCTGGTGTCGACAGCCTCGAGGGTAAGACGGTCTTCATACCCGCAGCACTCAGCGGCTTGGGCGGCATCGCCATTCAGATGGCGAAGAATGGCTTTGGTGCCAGCAGAGTCATATCCACCGTATCAACAGGCAAGATGTCGCTCGTGGAGAAGTTCTTACCTGGCCTCGTTGATCAGCTCGTCGACTACCAGACGGAAGACGTTTCCAAAGTCGTGCCCAAGCACAGTGTTGATTTCATGTTCAATCCGCAAATGACGACCCTGAACGCTGGCATCCCATTGTTGCACCCTCAAACCGGCGTCCTGGTGTCTCTAGCTGGTATTCCCACGTCCAGCCTGGCCAAATTGATGCTCGGCCCCAAGATGGTACCATTCTGGTTGGGCTGGATCTTCGATCTGGGTCAATACTGGTATTCCTTCTTGTTGCGCGGCACGAAAATCAGATATGAGTTCGTCTCTGGTGACCCCGGAGACCGAGAGGCCCTCGAAAAGACTGGCGAGATGATTGCATTGGGCAAGATCAGGGCCATCATACGCACTGTCAATCTTTCAGACACTGAGGGTGTGCGGGCCGAATGCGAGAAGGTGGCGGCTATCAAGGGAGGCTTTGGAAGACTGGTCGTCCGAGTCGTCGAGTGACAGTTGCAACGGGCAAACCACCAGCGACAGACAATCGCGTTCAACCATTATGGACAGGACAGTAGACTGAATTAAAAGCCACAATGGCGCGCGCTGCTGTCTTGCCGTGGGATGTGCTCGAGTGACTCTGGGGTGACCGTGGCTGTACTTGTAGGTGGGGCAACGCGACTCCCACGCGTCTCCTAAAGTGCTTGAACCTGTCACGCTCAACTCGACGCGTCCCACTGCCAGCCACCGTCCACCCCGTCACATACAAATCGGTGACCTTTTCCGTCTTCCTTGGGTCAGACCTTGCTATTGCTTTCAACACTCGATAGTCGCATTCCAATTGCTCATCAACTAAACTCCAACACTATCCTCAAATACTCACTTCGACGTTCGATTAACAACCATCTCTCCAGAATCTACACGTCTCACCCTTCACCATGGTCCTCAAACGCAAGCGTTCTTCCGAGGAGCTTTCCAGCTCGCCGTCCTCGTTCTCCTCATCGCCCATACTCCCTGGTACGATGGACATGGACCACATCTCCCCGGCACCCTTCGCTGCGTTCTCCTCTCACTTCACGCCATCACACCTGCCTAGCCGCACCATGAAGCGTTTCCGCGACAACAGACCCTCACAGGAGGCAGTGCATCGTATGTGTTGAACAGCCCCTGCCATCCCGCTTTTCAGTATCTGACAGCAAGGTTCATAGAACACACACTCAGCATGCTCTACTCCGCTCAGCAACATTCCGACACAGATTTTACCCCAACCAGCCCCTCCCCGATGCCTCGCATTCTCGAGCGACCAGCACAGCCGGCGCCTACAGCACAGCGGTCTCTGCATGCCTTTTGGAATATCAACTCTGCTCCGGCCGCACCGTCATTCACACCGTCCGCGTCCCAAACCTGCCATGAGGCTTCAAGCTGCGAAGACTGTGGCGTCGGATTCGGCTCCCGGGATGGGACTGACTCGATGGACATTAATGGCTACGGCTTCGATAGTGAGGACGACCACCTGTGCGGTGCCTGTAGGAGGCATGTGTGCTCCGGCTGCTCCGTCACGAACCTCGGCGAGCAGCGTCGGTGTCTGACTTGTGCCGGGAGGAGGGTCCGTGTTGGAGGTTTGGGATGGACGACGACGAGGATCCCGTTTTAATCTTTCGCGGACAGTCTCAGCACTTCACTATTTATTCTTGATGATCAGCAAGCGTCTTATTTTTCAGCACTTTCAGCAGAATTTCTGACTCATTTATATGCCACTCGGTAGCCTTGACGTGGTGATGCGAACGTGTGTGCCTGGCACTGAAGTGTTTCATCAGCCGGGCGTTGCACTTGATGTGTCAGGAGTTCGATGTAGGAGAAATACTCGATCCAGAGCCGGCAACGATTATAGAATAGGTAAAGATCTAGAGAGAATGTGCAGCAGCATGAGCGGGACGTCATCCATATTCCTCTGCCCATCAATGTTCAGCGGGCTCTTAACCCTCCTTGCTCCTCCTTCTCTTTTGTTGTCTCCTTGTGCTGGCATGTCGCTGACACCAAAGGCATCACTTATCTATCACCACGACATCTGGCATCTCCAAAGCATTTCCATTGAACGCCTCGCTGATCGTGCGAAAATGGTCTCTCGATACGAAGGGCTCCTATGATCCAAAAGCTGCTCCAAATTGCCCACCGTCTTCCTGACTACTGCTGCCATGGTGATTGCTGCGCTGGACGTGGGAAGACTGGGATTGACCCAAGCTGGTCGAGGCCTCCCCCCATCGTCTGTTGATTGTGCTGCCAGCCTAATCCAGTTTGATGGTTGACGAATGCTCCCTGTCGGAAGGGATTGGTACCCGTTTGCTGGGGCGCGAGGGGACCAGCACTGGTCACCGGCCTCTGGGGCTGCGCTGAACCGCCGAAGTTCTTGGCAAATGGGTTGGTCCCCGTAGCCATGGGCTGCAATGGAGCTGGCGGCGTAGCCACTTGCTGTTGTATCGGACCGGCGGGGGCGAAAGGCTGCTGTGCTTGGGGCGATGAGCGTGCAAATGGGTTCGTGGACTGCCGCTGCAGGCCGCCATTCACAGGAGGGCTGCTGGACCCGGACGCAACAGGACTAGCCGAAAATCCAGTCTGTTGTGTCATCAACATTGAAGCCCTGAAAGGATTTGTTGTCTGAGGTGGCTGAATATTTTGCGCAGGTGAAGCAGTGCCAGTCTGGAAGCTGGCGACGCCTTCTTGAGGAATGGATCCCAGCGCGCCAGGCTGGAAGCCCGGTTGTGGGGTGTATCCTCCAAAGCCGGCTCCAGTGAAGTTGGATTGGATTTGCTGAGGCTGTTGTTGCTGCTGACCCCATGGGTTGTAGCTCTGAGGAGCGACTGCTTGTTGAGTCTGGTACGGATTGGTTAACAGCCCAGTCTGTTGCGTACCGAGACCGGTTTGCTGAAAGCCAAGAGCTTGCTGCTGGTAAGGGTTGTTAACAAAACCGGTCTGCATCGGCAACTGCTGCTGGGGCAACTGCTGTTGGGCCTGCTGCTGCGGCGCAGGTTCTTGAGCCATTGGCGTTTGGTTCTGCTCGATGGATTCGAAGAAATCAATCAGATCTGGCGCGGGACCCTTGGCTTGGGGCTTTGCGGCTTGAGGAGCGGCAGGCGTAGGCTCGGGGAAAGAGTTGCTGTATGAGTGTTTCGGCTTCGAGGGGGCACTAGGTGCCGACGCCTTGGACACCGCCGACGTGCCACCGTTCTTTTTGGCTTGGACTTCAGCAATGTACTGTCGGCGGTTGACCTCAAAATCAGGGTCGTTGAGATATTCCTCGAGCTGCTGCTTCAGGTTGACAGGGGCGTGCTTGAGCTTGGGCACTTCGACCCGCGTGAGGTGCTCGTACTGCCGCGCTAGCCTCAGGTAGCTCACAACGAAGTCAGTCTGTTTCGCAAACTGGCGGTATATTTCCATGGCCCTCTCCGCGTCAGGCTTGGAGAGCTCAAAGAAGCACCCTGGCAGCGTCAGTAGCGATCAGGATGGGTGGTTTGAAGTCTCGTACCTAAAATGTTGATCATGGCTTGGTTGAGTGATTGGAACAGAGCTAGTAGGTCTAGAACGAGAAGTCTGAAGGCCGTGGTCGTCACCTCAAAGGATGATTGATCCTCCACAATCTAGGGTCCGTCAGTCTATATCGTGCCTCGCCAGAGAGGTTCACTTACGTCGCATTTCAGCAAGGCTGAAACCTGGCGCTGCAGAGATTCCGTTTCCCTCAACAGACCCTTGTCCACAGTCATCTTTTCCAGCCGTGTTTCTTTCACTCGGACCCAGTCGCATTTAGTGTCCCGATATGCCTTCGCCCTCTCTTGAAGGTAGTTGGCATACACGCGGATATTCCGACCCTGTGTTTGTGCTTTGCGGTATTAGCGATGATAAGACCGTATTTGATATTGGGTTGACTGACCATCTGTGATGGTGGTGATGCTCAACAGGTTCCTGTGTTCCGACAGGTATGCAAGTGTGGCGTCTGGAGAGCCTTCTCTGATCATGAGGTGTATTGTGATCAAGCTCTTGAAGACCACAGTCCAGGTAGAGTCGCGCAAACGGAACTGAAGCGACCGGAAGACTTCTGCCACACCAGCCTCACCGGAATGCGTCGCAACGAGGATGTGCTCGATATATTTCGTCTTGGGAGGCGCCGCCTGGTCGTTGTTGTCAGCGCATACTCGTTGGCTGATCGGGCAATGCGTCGCCGAGCGGGCAGTAGAAAGAGTCAGATGTATACCTTGATCTTGGTAGCGCCCTTGACGGACTTCTCAAAGGAGCTCGACATGGCGGAAACTTGTCGCTACAATCTTTCAGTGCTTCGAGGCTACAAAAGCAACAAGATCCTTGCCGTATCAGCCAGCCGCTGGCAAATGACGGTTATCTCGGTGGCTTGTCCACGCCTCGATTGGGACGGGACTGTTGTCGGACGCAGTCAGGCTATAGCGGGGAAGAAGTCGAAGGAGATCGATTGTGGAAGACAAGTTGGCCTGGAGAAATGACAGGATATGTTGAACGTCGGCTCCGACAGACCGCAACTCGTTGTAGAGGTGCGTGTTGAGCTCTATGCGCTGGAACAATGCCGTGGGTGACGATTGCGATGCCCAGCAACCTGGGGAAATTGGCTCCTTCAGATGCAAGGGTGGGGTGCTCGATCGGGGGCCCGTCAACTGTGCACAAAAGCCATGACACAAGCTGAGAGCGTGTCGTCGAATAGTAATGATGCAAATTGATGTCGTGTCGCGCGTTATGTGCCGCTAAGTGGTGTTTTTGGAAGAGAAGCTGGGCTAGGCTGGGCAGCAGCTCGGATTCGTGAATGTCGGCCACGTCGCCGAGGAGGCTGGTGCTAGCAGGCACAAGTTGACGAGGTTGGCGTGACGGGCACTCGACTCGCTCGATCCAGCTTGAGAGAGAACAAGGATCCATCCGGTTTGGTGGGCGGGCTTGCGGTCCGCCCGGGCACCGGGGGTCTGTCATTGCCCGCTCGTGGATAGCTAGCTGCCCAGCAATCAGGCTCCCGACATCATTGGAGTGTTGCATTCCTGGCACCGTCCCGCTAAGACCCCACTGTCTTTGGGGGTGACATGCTCACCTACCTTATTATGAAGTAATCAGCGCTCACCTGGAAGTCCCCTGCGGCAAGTTCATGCTTCAACTCTTTCACAGCTCGCCATGACGCAGGCAACCACTGATTGAAGAACATCCAAGACATCGCTCAGTAGTGATTCAGTACGAGCACCATGACCTCACCATTTGCAGACATTCTGGAACATTCAATTCAGCCAGTGCTACCTACCTGAACCACATCAACTACAGGAAGCATGCACACCACATGTGGACACACTGTGATGTTTGACCATGGTTGAAGACGAGCCACCCAGCCAACGTGTGTTGGCAACGAAGTACCTTCGGAAGCAGACCGTGGAAACAATTCTTGTTGGTAGAACTCAAATGTCATATATATTAACCTACCTACCTAGGTAGGTAGGTAAGGTAACTTACCATCTAACAGGGAATGTGATTAAGATACAGGAGCTGGTTGTGGTTGCCAGACACTGGCCAGGCACCACCAACCTTCATTCGAAACAGGTGCCCTTCCCTCATCTCTTCCTCCAATTCGGTTCAAAATCAGAATGGCCTTTCATCGCGTCCGATGCAGTAACAAGGTCGTGGCCGAACGCCTAGATCATGGCCCCCCCGCCCTTCCCAACTCTGCCCTGAAGCTCCTGAAGGAGAGAGCTCGGAAGTTCCAGACGGGGTGGCAGCATCATTTATCCACGGAGGTCTTCATCATCTGCGATATGATTAGTTCGAGATCGTCAATGGCGATGCAGATGGGGTGCGAGAGCAAACATACACTTGATTGAATTGGAGAAATCATAAGGAGAAAAAAAGGGAAACGAAAAATGCGCCAACGCGATGGCACACTTTTATGGAGGTCGCGCCTGGTGGGGCCGGTCACCTGTGAGCTTGGGTACGTACATGGGCTCAAACATGAGAACGTCAATTGGTCATGTGTTGAACCCACGTCGAAGGTAAGGTAGGCACCGCCATGAGGAGGGAGACTGTCGAACGACGGGATTCCAAGAAAGCGTAAGAGGCCCAAATCAAGAATCACTATACTCCCGAAATCAAAGGTCAACAACTTGCTATTTTGTATGTACGAGACAAATAATCTTCGGTACAATGCTTCCACCCCCTGTCACATCAGTCACGCGCGCCGTGGTTCGGCTCTTGTTGAAGCGATATAGAGAAGATGAGCTGAATCTTAAGCTCGCCTAGAGTTGTCTCACATTCATCAATGTTCGATGAACTTTTTTCTTGCTCTCGCTTGAATAAATGCCCTAAAGGCAGTCCTTACGCCGTCGCTATGCAGTCCCGCAGCCAAATGCAAACCTCGCAGCTCCCCAAATGACAGATTCACAGATCAATAGGCATCAACATCCATCTTCTGCGATGTCTGACCCGAGGCGGCCACCTGCGCCGCCTCCGTCGTTGCTAGGTCCTCTGCGCCCTTCTCATCCTCAATAAAAACCCCCAATCCTGAGAAGGCCTCGAACATGGCACGGGTCAAGTACTCTTCAGCACTGTAGCCGCCCACGACAATGTCACTCCGCATGCGTGCTGCATCGACCCAGTCGTTGCTATAGTCGTCTAGCGGTCCTAGTTCGTATCGCTGTAAGGCAAGATTCATGCCGCCGAATGGATCGTACGGTCCTTCGTCAACAAAGGCCGGCTTCTCTTTCTTCTTGAGACCGCGGATCGACATGGCCGAGGTCGCATCCGTGAGCGATGAGCGAGCTGCGTCCAATCTTCCCTGGCCACGCTTCTTGAGGACGATCTTCTCCATTGTTGCGCGAGCTTGCCCAATGTTTCCGCTGGCCAGGCCATCCAAGACGTCTTCTCTTGCACGCGCTTCACGCGCCTTTTCCTCCGCATCTTCGCGTGCCGCGTCAAGTCTGCGGCGACGGGCAGCTTCTTTTTCTTCACGCTCGCGAATGGTCCGCTGAGCTTCTGACTCTTTGGCCAAGCGCCTGCGTTCTTCAATCTCGCTCTTGTGTTGCGCCTCCCAGTCTTGCAGCTGCGCCTCCGCGCGTGCCTTTTCGTTTAGTTGTCCGTTGAGCAAGTCGAATGTCAGAGATTCGACCTGCTCTAGGTAGGCGTTGTAATCCTCGAGGGACTCGAAATCGGGTTCTTCCTTGTTGAAGACAGCGTGAACGCGGCGGCGCACATCAACCTCGCGTTCAACAGTCAGATCTCCGAACCATGCTGCTTTGAATGCCTTTTTTCGGAGAGTTTTCGTGCATCCAGCATAAGGGCACTGCGCGGGACCATCGGCGAAGAGACGGGCGACGCAGTTGGCGCACATGGGATGGTAGCATTCGGGGTTGATCAGAAACTCGAGATCGCGGTTGAGGTATCGCATTGTCTTGCAGACAGGACACACGTCGGTGCTTGGAGAGGGGGGGTTGCCCTTTCGCGAGGCCATTTTGGCCCTTCCTTGTGGAGCAGAGGGAGCGTCAAGGTAAAGCAGATGCCTCTTGCTGCAGATTGCACAGCTGTGGCAAGGCACGTCTTCAAGGGAGATGTTTTGCGGTAGGTAAGGTACCTAGACAGCGAGTCCTGGTGCGTAAGCGCAATTGGCAAGCGGAGGAGAAGGGAGCCCGAGGCCGGGGTGCTCGAACTCGACAACGGCTGAAAGACCCGTCGAAAGAATCACGGTGATTTGAGGTTGAGCAAGGCAAACAAGCTGGATTGTCTTAGCTTGCTAGGTAGGTACTTAAGGTACCTAGGTAGAGTCAGGCAAGTCAGTAGATAAGTCATCGTTATCGGGCATACCTAGGTACTGATTACAGATCAGCAGGGGTCCTGAAGCTACCCCTCCAAACCTCCGTCAGGTTTATCCTCACGCTTCCACACATTTCTCTATTTTGACAGGACGACCAAGAGACGACCACAATGCGTAAGGCTCTATTATTGAAGTAAAAATGGCAGCTACTTTCGGAGGACTAATCAGGTTGAATTACAGGCTTCAGGGAACCCAAGACAGACGAAGAGAAGGCAGCCCGCGAGAAGCAGAATGCGGAACAGGCTGCACTTCCATACACATGGTACCAGAAGCTTGAGGAGCTGGAGGTCAAATTCGATGTCCCTATCAACTACAAACCTAAAGATCTGGTCATCAATTTCACAAGGACATCCTTGAAGGCCGGAATCAAGGGCGAGACCCCCCTCATCGATGTAGGTCGCTCTAACACAAGCCGCCGTTCACGCACGAGACTCGGGCGTTGCCCATAACCTTACATGAGAACTTTGCTGACAGTACTTGTGCCAGGGCAACTTCCCTCACCCTATTCGTGTGGATGAGTCAACATGGGGCATGACTGTCAACGCCGCGAAAGACGCAAAGACTGTTACAATCCAACTCGACAAGACGAACAAGATGGAGTGGTGGGCAAATATTGTGACCAATCAGCCCTCCGTCGATCTCACAATGATTGAACCTGAAGAAACATCCCTTAGCGACGTGACCGAGGGCTCAACCCGTGCAATGGCCGAAAAGCTGATGTGGGAGAGCACATTGACGCCTGAGCAAAAGCAGAAGAACAAGCAAGAGGAGAACATGAAGCGTCTTGCGGAGCTGCAAAAGCAGACTGGCTTGGACTTTTCTCAGGCCGAGATCAACCACGGCTAAGGAAGATAGATGTAGAAGGTGTCAGGAGTGTAACGAAACGACCATACCATTGTAACAGCCCATGGTATCGGGGGTACGACGTCAGAGAAACCCTGTGCAAGCATTTATCTTGGAGCCTTGAGGGGTTGGGAAGCAAAGTGATTGTGCAGCCCAAGAATTCCAGACGCATGCATGAACGCTCCCTGGGGGGTGTTCATCCAAGCTTCTGATCTCAAGGTCCGTACTAGTCACGAATATAAGGGCATCACAAAAGCGGTACAGGCAGAAGGGCGCAAACCCCGATAGTGAAGATGACTTCGATTGATGGAACCCATCTGCAACATTACCTATGCAACAGTAGCGTCGGGTTTCTATTGCTTCGAGAGACGGGCAGCTCTGAATCTGCTCATCTTTTGACCACCATCAGCTTCATCGAGGGGCTGAATAGGGGATTCATCTTCTTGCAGGAAGCCGCCGTGTTTTTGGATGAAGTTACGGCGTTTCTGGTGGTATTCGTCGGCGAGATCCTGGTCCATGAAGTCGTCATTGTACTCCTCTCCAGCTCTGGTGGACGTTGATTCACGCTCGAGGACGGACTCGGCAATCGTCTTCCCCAGGGGCCCTGTCGGAGCTATGGGCCTATCCTGGTCCAGGAATCGAACAGGGACATCGAGTGGTCCCTTGGGCACGGGTGACTCGGCCGCTGTTGCCGCTTCGCCTCGATTCTTCTTGAAGCGGGATGCTTTACGAACTGGCTTGGAGGTTTGCTCTGGACGTTGCGAGGGACCGCTTCTTTCCACGATGTCGCTGAGGGGTTCAACAAATGGTCTCGCCGGTTCTGACGACGTTTGTGGGGCCGACGGAACGTCATCGGGGGCGATATCCAGATCCGCGGCAAAACGTACACTCTTCTTCTCATCTGCGCCATCATCCACAACCGACGACTTCAGGCTGGAAGCGCGTGGAGAGAGAGCGGTTTCCGCGGGCGGAGCTTGTGAGGATGGTCGAGGCTCTTGTTGGATTGTGACGCGGCCCAGTCCTTCTGGCTCGTTGTCGTCAGAATCAGTATCCTGTTCAACCAACTGTTCAGTGAACCTAGACTTGATGCCAAGGCGCTTCTCGAGCTCCAACATCCGCTGGCGATAATCGTCATCAATAACGCTGCCAAGAGAGCGACCGTATTTATCCTCTTCGTCGTCTTCCTCTTCATCCTCCTCAGAATACTCCTCGTCGAAGCCTTCGTCATCGTCTGTGGCTTCTTCCAGGGTCAATTCAGCGACAACGGCGCCCACCTCACCCATGCCGTACTTGAGCATCTCTCGTCGTAAAAAGGCATCTTCTTCCGACTCATCTTCAGGGACGACGGCTTCTGAACGGGCCAGTTGCTCTTGATCCTTGGCGGTTTGCATAATTTGTTCGACGCGGATAGCTGTTCTGGACTTCTCTGTTTCCTCTCCAGCTTTGGTATCCTCCGTGAATGAGACGCTTTTCTTCGTACCACCGTCGTTGAGGCCTTCACTTGACGAGGGTCCGCCAACAAATTCAAGGTGCTTTTTCGCTGGTGGAGCTTGCGTTGTTAGTGCTCTTTGCGCTGGAGCCTTTGGCGATGCCTTTTGGGTTGCTGTTGCTTCGGTTTTGGGCTCCACTGGAGCACTATTAGAGATCTGCTCAGACGCCGATCCTCCTTGTGGTATATCCTTGATGCCGGCCTTCTTCAGGAGCTCTTCCAGCTGGGTTTGCGCGTCTCCAGGCTTCTGCACACGAGATGAGATGACCGCGCCGTCTTCATCGAGCTCCTCGATAATCTCTGACATTGGCAGGCCCTCCTCATCCCGCATGTCAGGATCGGTGATGATCGATGCCGCAGCATACTTCTCTTCGGCGATTTCGAGCTGCTTCTCCAGGGTTTCGAGGTTCTTCGTGACGTAGTCGATCCGTCGTGAAAGAACATTGACGATTTGATCAGCAGGTTTGATTCCAACATTGCCGAAGATCTCATCGAGTTCCTTCCGATCTATGACATCGCTCTTGAATTCGGCCCGTATTCTGGCGAGATCTTTCTGAGTGACTGGTTTGGGGGCTGACTCTATCTCGTCTTTGAGAGTCTCATACTCGGCGTCCCATCGTCGCCAGTGTTGGAGGCCTTTCCGCAGCTTCGCGACGTTTTCCTCGAGCTGCGCTCGATGTCGCTCCAGGTTTTGCAGACTGTCTTTCATAGTTGTACTGTCAAGAGCGTCCCGATGTCGATGCAAAAGCCAACAAAAATTGCAATCACTTGGACAAATTTTGATGAAAGACCTGAACCATTAAGTAAGGTATGTGACTAGCGGGGCGACGGGTAAATGCAACTATTGCTAGACCCACAATACGAACGATCCTGTCACGTCAGTTCGCCAAGTGATACATGTAGTCACCTTGCACATGTTCATTAGCCCAGTCTGAGATGACAGTCCATCCTTTATTTCCTCCCAAGTCGGCAATTTTCACGTGTTTCCGACTTGAGAGGGTTGATCAAAACTGGTCCAGTGCGTTCGGGCAGACCAAGTCCCACCACGGCGAGCGTTAGAGTTCCAACAGTGCCGGCATTTCCGAGACACGGACTTCGCTACCCTCAGATGCCGTACCGTATGTGAGTTGGGAGAGCTCCAAGGTCTGCTATGCGATCGTTCTGGAGCAAGTGGGTTTTTGGCCGAAGTCTCCTCGGCGTGGCTTTTCGAGGACCCGTCCTGCCGTAACTATCCGAACTCCGTAAGGACTAGTCGTTTTGTTATTGATCTCCCATCGAATACCCACCATCATATTGACCGTTGTGGGCTGCGGTACCTTTCCAGTCTTAAAAACTAAGCCTAGTTTTTCTTACCTGCTGCCTTACGTCGCTTACCATTTTGTACCTTACCTTGGTACCTTGCCTTACCTTAGATAAGGTAGGTAACTAGGTAGGTAGGTATGGAAACGCAGCCCTGATGAAAGTCACAGCACCAGCCGGTACTTCATCAGCTCACCTTACCCTTCCGACAAATAGCTTCATGATCTAGGATCGATTACGTCAGCCGCGCGATGGGTCGAGCTTGACTTTGCGACATGTGAATTCGGGGACGCATCAAAGCCAGCGTTCTAGTTTCTCTTCATTCTCAATCTATCCTCAGTCTTACACACCCGTCGGCTTTTGAGCCTCTTCTCACCGCCAGTCCTGTCCCCCCAACATCCCATAATTTCGTCTCTTTGACATGCAAAGCGAGTACCGTAGCTCGTCATGAACCAACCCAAACGCGATCGCCCCGCCAAAGGTATCAGGCTAGCTTGCGACTCCTGCCATGTCAAAAAGATTCGATGCATCCGAGCACCGGGATCGACACCAAGGCCATGCGAACGATGCGTGCGGGAACACATTGAATGCGTCTTCAGCCCCGCATTGAAGACTGGGAGGCCCAAAAAAGAAAGGCCTGCCACTGCTGCTCACCGCGAGAAAAGCGATGAACCGTCAACAGCGCCTCTGAAGCCCGTTGTATTCAGGGCTATGACCCCCGTCACTCCTTCCATGACCCTGACGAGTCACGACAGCGTGGACGCTACTCCTCGGTGTCCGCTGGTCGACATCGCGGCGGCAGATGACAGCTACGATGTGGGCCAGGACCAAGACCAGGAAGATGAAAGGACCCTGGAGGAGCTGTTACCAAATCTCAGGGGCACTCACGACGCTCAAAGTGTCGTTCTTGCTAAGCTGGAGCGCATGTCAGCTCTACAGCAACAGCTTCTGAGTAAAAGAAGGATCCTTACGCCTCTCTTCTCACAACGACCTCCTCCGGGTGTAGCCTTGCGTTCGGGCACCCTCCATGAGCTTCTAGACGTTGCGCGAAAGGTTTCCAACATGCATGTCTGGCTCATGATGGCCGCCGAACGATTTTCCTGGCGCAACCGAATCATGCACAGCATGACCGACGAGACATCTTGCATGATGCTGGTACTGCCGGCTATGTTTGTTCTCGATGTCTTCATCGAAACGCTACGATTGGTTTTTCCTTTACCCGACGAGCCTTCAAACGCACAGCTTGCAACGCAGCAAATGACTGCTGAGGATGCGCAAGGCATGGGGCTGCCGGATCCCAGTCTGATCATCTACGTATCGTCTTTGGCATTCGACACAGCACTCGCCGACGACCTGATGAGCAGTCGATCGGAAGATGAATGCCGTAACCCTGTCTCCGAGTTTGTCCTCGTCAACATGGTTAAGGAACAACACGACAAACAACGTCACGCGTGCGATGCAGTCAGCGCGACTCTTCCTCGCAAACATTGCGCACCTGGGGCTCAGGAGTTGATGGCGGTGCTTCTGGCACAGTACTCTGCCAAGCTCGATCTTGTTCGAGGCGAGGTTTCCAGAGTTGAGACTACCGGACAAGATACCCCAATGCATCACTCGGCGGTCGGGACAGTGTCAAGTGAATCCTGAAAATTTTCATTTTCGACCTCTTGGCCCTGCTGTTGTCCTATTGCATTAAGTCGCATCGGTCCGGACCCGTCCGGACCGGGGGTGATACACCCACCTCATCCTTCGTGTCGTACAGTTTCGCCGGAAGGGGTTGGGTGATCTTGCATATGTGGTTTCAGCCCAAGCGACACTTTTCACGAAAGAGACATCCCGTAAGCAATCCCGACCACATGGTCCTGGTGCTGTGTGTACCATCTATCATTCGCTGAACACAGGTTGACAGCCCAGGCCTGCCGACCACATGCCGCACCTCTGGATCAAATGCCTGGCACCTCAATCATCTCCACCTCATCCAACAAAGTCACCAATATGATCGCGCTTGTCTGATGAGACTGTCAGTGTTACAACGCAAGCCAAAGTCATATCCATTCTTCCAGCAATTCCGCACTCATCTGCCTCTTCTCGGCTGGTCTAGTTTGCGATTTGGTTTGTGTTCTACATAAATCCTGTCCGACCTGACCTGCTTGTCTCTACATCACTGCATGCTTTTGAAGGTTCGAGCACCCGCGAAGCGCCTTTGCAAGAATTATAAGAAGGAAGAACATCTCGTTAGCTCGACGTTACCTATTTCTCGATGTTCCACAGTCGACACCGTTGGTCTTGGTCAGCCTTCCGTCTCGCAGAGCTTTATGCACCGCCAAACTCATAACCCTTACCCAGCTATCACAAGCGATCTTCGCCCACGTCCGACATGGAACCCCGGTCCTATTCGGTTACAGCACGACCTGTAGCTAACATACCGGCCAGACCAATAGCCATTGCGCCCCAAGATGCAAATGAGCTCCGGGTGGTTCATCAACAGGTGTCTCACAAGCATCATCTGCCAAATGTAACCATATTTGCTACAGGAGGCACGATTGCGGCCACTGCAGCCTCTGCCGCTGTCACCATGGGCTACAAGTCTGGAGATATCGGGATCCAAGCACTTATTGATGCTGTTCCGCAAATTCGAACGGTAGCCAATATTCAAGGTATCCAGGTCATGAATATCGATTCAACAGAGGTGACCGCGAAGGACATGATAAGTTTGGCACGCCGAGTTCAACAAGAAGTTAGCAGTCCTCATTGCGACGGCCTCGTCATCACACACGGCACTGATACCCTTGAGGAGTCGGCCTTTTTCGTTGATCTTACTGTGCAAACCGACAAGCCGATTGTTTTCGTGGGCGCGATGCGGCCGGCAACTGTCATCAGTGCCGATGGTCCGCTAAACCTCCTGGAAGCCGTCACGCTCGCCGCCAGCCCCAAGGCCAGGGGTCGTGGTGTTCTCGTCACTCTCAACGACAGGATTGGCTCAGCCTTCCTCACGAGCAAGATGCACGCGAACTCGGTCGATGCGTTTCGCGCCTCGGAGGGCGGCTATCTTGGTTTCTTCTTCGATGTTCAGCCCAGGTTCTTCTACGCGCCGTCTCTTCCGTTGGGCCGCCATTACTTCAGTGCTTTTGACTTGCCTGATGAGCTGCCGCAGGTTGAGATACTCTATTCGTACCAGGGATTCAATCCGCGTCTCGCAGAGGCGGCCGTCAAGATGGGTGCCAAGGGCCTCGTGCTTGCTGGGCCAGGTTACGGAACCTGGAGGAAGGCAGGTCGCATGGAGAACGCCAGATTGGTCGAGCAGTACAACACGCAAATTGTAACGGCATCGCAGAACGGTGACGGCTTCGCCATCTCGCAGGGAGGCAGGAACAACTACGGCGCTGGCCATTTGAATCCTCGCAAGGCAAGGATTATGCTGCAACTAGGACTGGCACAGGGATACGACTCTGAGAAGCTGGAGAAACTGTTTTCCTTTGACTGCTGAAGGAGGGCATCCTTGGAGGATTGAAAGTCTAAAAAAACTTTACTCAGTGCCATAGTTAACTTTGGGCTCACAATAGCCGTGTTATTCCTGATGACCTCAGATGGTAGCTCATTCATCGACTGCATCGGGTTGCACGGCCGACTCGCGTTGGTCATCTCCGCCAATCTCTCGAGATCGACCACGGACCGTTCAAGTAATGAAATCTGCTGAGCTTGGACAGCCTTGCCTCACCTGTTGACTCGGGACAGATCCCCGTCCATCGAGCTCCCGGACACCGTGGGAGGTCCGTGGGATGTATTATTTTAGACGGTAGAGGTGTCTCACCGCCAATACTTATGCACATATCGCTTCACGATGCCTCGTACTAGGTACCTACCACATTCAGTGGAAATGAATTGGCAGGCCAGAGATTTTTCCCATCTTCATGTCACACTGTACCATCCCTTCTGAATTGAATCTCAATCGAATTTCCATCAACCGTCTTTGGTAGCTCGCCATCGCTCCACTCGTCGGACGTCGGAATCCACCCACATTGTCCAAGACCCCGTTTTGGTAGCCGATCGGCTATCTCGATACAGGAGGACAGCCCAGACCCTATCTCCAGTGATCGCTGTCTTTTCATCGATCCTGCCAAAGCCACGACACTGACGTTCATTGCCTCCTTTTTTCCTTGTGCGATAGCCCCAGCGTCTCTCCAATTTCATTTCACGTTTGTCTTGTGCCTATTTGCAATCAATTCTTTCTCTTGTGCCGACATACACCGTCACCATGCTCGCCTGGTAAGCAATGCAGTAACCCCCTGAGCCTCCGCCATGCAGCTCACTCACTGCGCCCGTCACTGACATCATCCAGGTACCAAGCTCGCCTGGCCGCGCGCCCACTGCTCACCCAGAGCATCACCACCGGCATCCTCTTTGCCACAGGTGACATTGTCGCCCAGCAGGCCATCGAGAAGAAGGGCACCAAGGACTACGATCTTGCCCGCACAGGCCGCATGGCCCTCTACGGCGGCAGTACGTCGTCCCTGCGCCCCTGCGCCAGTGCACATTCACTGACCATCCCCCTACTTAGGTGTCTTCGGCCCCGTCGCCACGACCTGGTTCGGCTTCCTCGCGCGCAACGTCAACTTCCGCAGCACCGCCGCCACCACCATTGGCCGCGTCGCCACCGACCAGCTCGTCTTCGCCCCCGTCATGATTGGTGTCTTCCTCTCCTCCATGGCCACCCTCGAGGGCACCAGCCCCAAGGCCAAGCTTGAAAAGAGCTACTGGCCCGCGCTGACGGCCAACTGGTTGATTTGGCCCGCCGTCCAGGCCTTCAACTTTGCCCTGGTCCCTCTGCAGCACCGCCTGTTGTTCGTCAACGTGATCAGTATCGGGTGGAACTGCTTCCTCAGCGCGCTCAACAGCGCGAAATGAGGGCCGCCCCCCGTGTGATGTCCTCTTGTGATGTCCTCTTGGAGCAAAAGGGCTAGCGTTTGCTCCGGCGGAGCATGAGCTTTTGGTTGGTTTTGTATACATCTCATAGACAGCAGGCACACATGGCATGTGGATTGGCCCTGGGCATCATTTCTTTGGGTATCGCCTCATAGCGGATCGAGCAGCGTCGACCGCCTTCAGAATTGTAATTGTCTGTCGTTTCCTCGCCACATTGATCCTCTCGTTTCGTCTTGTTTGAGTTTCTCTTGTCTTGGAGGCTTGAGACTTGTTTGGTGGAGCTGCTCGTGGTCGGCTTTTGCAACAAGTTTCTTACCAAATGGTGTTCCACAGACGTAACTTGACTGGGTTCTTGTTCACAAAGCATACGGTTTCGGGCGGTTACTTAACGTTGCTAGCTCCGTGTTTGGACGCACCGCTGTCATGATGAACTGGAGCCCTTGATGATGACTCTAGACTCGAGTAGCGGGTTTCAGGGTAAGTCCTTCTCTATACTGACTTTGAAGCCCTCTCACCTTGGGGATGAAATACCATCTGATGCTTGATCGTGCGCTGGGGGGTCGATGAGTAATAATAATTCCTCCTTCCTGGAGTCGGGATCCTAGGATCATACCTGGCCATGCTCTTAGCTGCCCTGCACCGATTGAAGAGCTCACAAGGCTACATTGACGGTGATAAAATTGGCAACGAATTCATGCCGGGGCGTTAAGCAAGGGGCAATATTTATTCATTGCTCTGGACGTTTGCAATCTACATAAAATCTTTACTTTCAAGGGTCTGTCATCAATTGGTGAGGTGGCCGAGTTGGTTATGGCGCCAGGTTAAGGTCTACCTTAACTAGATTTCCTGGTGGGGCAACCCGCGCGAGTTCGAGTCTCGTCCTCATCAATATCTTTTTGCCCCGTTCGAGACGCCATCCTGAGCCCGTCCATGATGGGCAAGCTTTTGCAATGTGAGGGGCTGTCCGACGCGGCGCTTGCAGGAGGCTATGCTTGTATTGCCTGAAACCTGCATTAACTAATGCATGTTGATGTGGGAAGGAACATCTACCAGTGACTGAAACGTTGCACCGATTCTATGGCTGGCACTCCACACGAGGGTATAGTTCACCGAGGGTATAGTTCACCTGACCATTGGGTATCGACCTGAGCTGACTATTGGGTCCGCTTTTAATTCTGACCTAACCATTAGGGGGTGCTATGGGGTGCGAATAAAGTCTCACGTGCCTTGGTTACCTAATACAACAGAGCCCAGACCACTAAGCCCAGCCAGACCACTAAGTCCACTGAGGCCAGACCACTAAATCCACTGAGGCCAGACCACTAAATCCACTGAGGCCAGACCACTAAATCCACTGAGGCCAGACTGCTAAATCCACTAAGGCCAGACTACTAAATACTTCTTTTTTAAAAAAAACCTACTAAGTCCACTAAGGCCAGACTACTAAGTCCACTAAGGCCAGACTACTAAGTCCACTAAATTTTAATTTTTTTTTTTTAAAAAAAAAGAATTCTAAGTCGGCTCTAAATCTATTTAGAATCGATTATTAAAAGTAGAGAAACTTATAAGTATTAGATAATCCTATTTTATTATATTTGCCCTTTTCGCTACACCCTAATGGTCAGGTCAGTTCCCAGATAGGCTAGCGTAAATCAAAAGATGACCCAATGGTCAGCTCAGGTTGAGACCCAATGGTCAGCTCAGGTTGAGACCCAATGGTCAGCTCAGGTTGAGACCCAATGGTCAGTTGAACTATACCCTCACTCGACACCGGCGTTGGAGATGGTCGAAGCCAAGCAACAGGACGGGACGGCGAGGGGTAACTCGCTCCTCGACCTCGACATTCCTCTCATATCAAAGGACAGTATTCAGACTCCAAGAATTCACTGACAGTTGTCAACGTTTGTTAAGGCCAATTGCGATCATGATGGCTCCTTCTCTGCTTGATCGTCTTAACACTGACGGCTTCGTTGTCGTCCCTTCCGCCCTATCACCAGACGAACTCGCCGAGCTCCGTCGGGCCGCCCAGGACACAACGGCTCTAGCCCGTGCCGGCGAATGGCCTCACGTCCGCACCCTCCCGAAGCAGTTCCCTCCCTGGCCTAAGTCGAGCCCGGAGAACTTGCCCAAGGAAGGCATTTGGGGTGTCCAGGGAATGATGCACCCAGACCTGCCCAACAGTGCGGTATACGTCAAGACGTACTTCTCTGATGCGGTCATTGGGCCTACGAAGGAGCTGCTCCAGTGCTCGGACGAGGACCTCGTGATGGAGCTCTTCAACTTGTTGGTCCGGCCAGACAGTGACTTTGAGCTGCGCTGGCATCGGGATGACATTCCCGCAACGGCGACGGCTGAAGAGGAGCTCGCACGGCTCAACCAGTCAGCCTTCTCAGCGCAGTGGAACATGGCACTCTACGACGACGAGAGTCTCATCGTTGTCCCAGGCTCTCACAAGCGCGCCAGGACCGACGTTGAGAGATCTGCGGATCCCTTTGAAAAGGACATGCCGGAGCAGCTGCTGGTCAAGCTCAATGCCGGCGACGTCGTCTTTTACAACAACAATATCCTGCACCGCGGGGCTTACAAGTCTGGCAAGGAGCGCTTGACGCTGCATGGAAGCGCTGGGCATGTCAGGGGTAGCTCGCTCAGAGCCCGCAATGTGCTGCAGCATGGGCTGAAGGACTGGGTTGATCGGGTCGACTTGAGCGCTCTCGGTGACAAGGAGAAGAAGCGAGCGGAGCACATGCGGGACATGCTTGTCAAGATGGGCCAAGAGGCGGGCGAGGTCGGGTTCTCGCTCGATGGTTGAGGCCATCGGCTATCGGTGAGAGAGCCGAAACATGAGCGGGGGAAGCGCCGAATAACGGGGAATTGAATCTCGCAGCGTTTGTCTATCTGGCGGTGAGGGTGGTCATTGGTGAGCTAGATCTAAGCGGAGGCGGAGGTGAGGCGAGGTGCAATCACGAGATGAGGCTGGGCGCATGATGCAACGGACAGCCTCCGCCTACCTGAGTCACTCGCACAGGCTGCTACAAACAGCTGGAAGCCGCACTCTAATTCCGATTGTAACGAGGCATTTCATTGTGCAACCGCAAACCACTGGGATATTCACGTCCTTTGATTGATCTTTCGGGTACCTTAGGCTTCAGTACATCGGATAGGTACCTCGCTCAAACCACCTCGACAGCCCATTCGTGGATGCCTCAGGCGAAGTGGAGCCCCAAGTCGTGCATCTTTTCCCTGCGGCCAAATTCGGGTCTTTGAACAGCGGCAAACCACCATCGTCACGGCGCGAGGAGCATCAACAGCCTCGCAACCCCCAGTCTCCCCAGACCCGCCTCCCTCGTCCTCTCCAGGACTTGTGTATTAGGCGACGGACACAACATGTTGCCTTGTTCGGTGCGCCGCGTGGCCGCCGTCCCGCCGACACCCCTCGTCTCATCCTTGAGCACCTCTGCCCCTAGAGCCGCTGCCACCGTGGGCATCGCGAGGCCCATCCGCCACCAGCGACGATGGTCTTCTTCGAAACCTTCCAGCTCTGATAACGGTCCCAAAGATATCCCCGGCCAGTCTGCCGTGCCTGCATCGGCCTCTTCTCGGTCTGGCCAGAGCAAGACCACCGGCGAGAAGCGGAAACGAAAGAGCAAAGATAGCGCCGAGCGAAACGCCTCACAAAAACTGCCAAGCGTCCCCAGCACTCAGCACCTGTCTCAAGAAGGTTTGTTTTGGACTGTCTATAGCCTGCCAAGCAACTCAGCTAACAGCCAGCAGCCCTTGGTCTATCGACCTTCTTCTCTCTCCACCGCCCGATTTCTGTCACACACAGCCTGCCCAAGTCGATTACCGAGGATGCCTTTGCCTCTATCTTCGCCTCACGCAACAGGGCGAATAACGCTGGCGACGTGATTTCAACCCTCTCGCGGACAGCTGACGAACTCGACGGCGCCATGGCCAAGATGACCATTGCCGACCAGCCTGAGCCCGATGTCCATGGCGACCCCGTGCGGAAGATCGACGTCCAGCACCACGATGGCTCCGAGTCCAGCGTTTACGTCCAGCTCAACTCCATGGCCGGCCAGTTCGTTCCCTTCCGCCCTCCTCCCATTCCTCAGCCGCAGAATGCTGCCACGGCCGGCCAGGCTCAGGTCGAGGCTGCTGCCGAGGAGCTCCTCGACGACACGCCGCAACACCGCGTCTACAAGGCCCTCTTCACCATTGAAGAGTCGACCGACGCTGACGGCCAGGTCCGCGTTCTCGCCCACAGCCCTCGCATCATCCAGGATGGTGCGCCCCGTAGCTTCCTCGAGCGCATGGCCAGGCGACAGATGCTCTTTGAGGAGGCGCAGGGCACCACCGACACCATGCACGCCCTCAGCGTCAAGCGCCAGCGCAAGCTCAAGATGAAGAAGAAGAAGTACAAGAAGCTCCAGAAGCGCGACCGCAACCTGAGGCGGAAGCTGGACAGGACCTAGACTGGTTGGCGCGTCGTATATACGCAGGAACTTGCGGGTCTCTCTGGTCTGGTTCACGTTCTGGCTCTGGTTTCCTCACATACATCCGTCGAAGAAGAGGGGGCGTGTCATAATTGGTGTTTTTTGGGGCAGGATGATTTGGTTGATTTAGACGTCTTTCCTCTTGGCTGCCTCATCGTGGGATTTGCATCTGCATCTCGCATTACATTTGGCTCTCATAGACCGCCACAGCTTGCATCAGCTTTCAGGCAGGCTTTCATCGGCTGTTCCTGAAGTAAAGACTCAAGTGTGATTGACTTTCTGTTTCCTCCCTTCTTGCCTGGATGTGGATGAGCGGAGTCAGACTGGCAAGATCAGCAGAAGATGTACAACACGGGTGTATTACTAGTCCACATGAATTAAGATCTCACGGCTTGCCTTTTAGGTGAACCATCAGTGTTTCTACAGTCAACCAAAGTGCCTACCTGTTTCAGTGTCCATGTTCGTCCCGGATGGAGGTTCGTCCACGTGAGCAGCTTATGTCATCGAGCCGACGTCAGTCCGCCCGATAACGACAGCTGCTGTAACCAGCACGAGCACCCACCATCGCCCGTTCCCCTCATACCTTCGACCAGCCTCCGGTTCTCATGACGAACCCATTACTTTACGGCCGGACCTTGTACTGCCTGCTTCCATAGGAGACAGTGCTGGGGACAACGATGCTCGAGAATCCATAGCCTGCGAACCTTCGGACACCCCCAACCGTACCCAATCCTACCTACCGTATCGCCTCCACCATGGCCGAACCCAATCCCATGACGGCTCTCCAGGCCGACCTGGCTCGATTCAGGAAGGCGTCGCTGTATTCGGCCGTCGAAGACACGGACAGATTACTCGAAATGCTCGTGCAGGCTCGGGAACAGGTTGCTGGAGGTTAGCCAAAGCCTCCCTGGAACCCCGCCATGCTCAAGTCCTGACCTAGATAGCTACCGACCCCCATCGCGCGAGCTTGACCATGACCAAGCTCCAGAACCCGATAAACGCTCGGTTTGACGCCATAAATAATGATCTGAAGGAGGTCTCGAAAGGCCAAAAGGTGTTCGGCAAGTCACTAGACAAGGCAAGCTCGAGTCCAGGTCTCGGTGTCCTGGTCCGACAGCTACTGACATGCCTTCGTACAGAACTTCCCACTCCGTCAGCTACCTACGGAGCACGATGCGATGGCGACACATCCAGAACTTATCAACAGAGCTATCGCGATGCACATGCTCCGTGAAGGCCAGTTCAGCGTCGCTTCGACCTTCCTCCGCGAGACGCACGAGCACCCGCTACCGCGGTCACCCACGTCCAACACGAACGCAGCCCCCGACATCCAATCCTTACAGTCTCAAGAACTACAGGAGAAGTTCGCCAACATGTACAGCATTCTCAATGAGCTCAAGAGGCGGAATCTTGTTCCAGCCATAAACTGGGCACACCAGAACAGCGCCGAGCTCGAAGCGCGCGGGTCCAATCTTGAATTCGAGCTCACAAAGCTTCAATTTCTTTGGCTGTTCAAAGGCCCAGAAGTAAACGGTCTCCCAGACGACGACAGGAACGGTCGCAATGGCGCATTGGCACATGCCCAAGCCCACTTTGCCCGCTTCCAAGCCCGTCACCGTCCCGATATTCAGCGTTTGACATGCTCCCTACTCTACGCACCCAACCTCGCCTCATCGCCTTACGCATCCCTATTCGCCCCAGCAAACACAATATTTGACGATGTGGCCACTTCTTTCACACGCGAGTTCTGCTCTCTTCTGGGACTCTCAGCCGAGTCGCCCCTCTACCTGGCAGCGACAGCCGGCTCCATCGCCCTCCCTCAGTTACTCAAGTACACAAACTACGTCATGGCCAGCCGCACTGAGTGGACGACGGAGAACGAGCTCGCTTTTGAGACGCCTCTCCCCCGGTCCATGGTCTACCACCCCATCTTCGTCTGTCCCGTCTCCAAAGAACAGAGCACGGAGCAGAACCCGCCTATGCTTCTCCCCTGCGGCCACGTCATCTGTAAGGAAAGCCTCCACCGCCTGGCAAAGGGCTCCCGCTTCAAATGCCCCTACTGCCCCTCCGAGGGCCACATCCGCGACGCCCGTGAGATCTCGCTTTAGGAAGACGGCCTTCACGTCAAGGCGTCAGAATCCGGCACGGTAAAATCGCCTGAACTTATCTCAATAGAATCTCCGGGATCATATGGCTCATGGACCGAGCCGCTGAACGCAACCTTGCGGGACATGGCGGACCGTCAGAGCGCGCGGGCCGCGATGAGGGCGGACCTGGGATGGTCGCCGCCCCCTCTCGCTGATATTCTTGCGAGTTCGTCGCCGCTGGCCAGGAACGCAGACCGTCCGTCATTGCCTTTTATTCCGCGCAGCGGTATACCTTTGCCCGAGCCGCCCGTGTAGACCCTCGTCGTGGCTGTGGATGCCTCTTCGGCGATGGATCTGCTCTGGTGGCCAAGAAACTCGCCTTCTCCTCCTCGGAGACCCCCCTGGTTCGGCTGAGCCTACCATCACCGGCTGGACGGTAGGTGAGGTTTTGGTACACCCCTCAGATTACGTGCAGTGAGCCGTCAATGGGGACTTGTAGTGTGGAAAGGCTGGATCGTGGGGAGGTTTTCGTCTTTACACGTATGAAACAAACCCCTCAAGCGTGGATGGGAAAATGGTCAGAAAGATATGGGAGGACAACGTGCCCCTGCGAATTCTTCACTCCATTGAGATGAAGTGATTCGGCTTGACTAGCAAGCACTGAGGCAAGGGTTGTAAATTGTCACGCAGCTAATCAGTGTTCCTATATATTCACATGCACAACCCAATGAAGTCCTACCACGAAGTTGGAAGCGAGCATGCGTACTCCGGTCCAATACTGGACCTGCAGTGCAGCTCTGCAGACGCTGAATAGAAGGTGCCGCATTGTGAGGGTATCGATAGGAGAGAACCTTGCCGAGGAACGCAGGTTCCAGCCTCGTCAATCACATGACAGGTTACCGGAGACTGGGTCAACGTGTGAATATACAATTTCATCATCTCAATCCTTTATCCTAGCTGTGGCACACGCACAAACTATACGTAGAAGTGAAATCTTATCGAACCAGAACGCCGTCCTCCTCTTCCCACCCCCAAAGCATTGGAGTCAAGGGAATGCGATGTGTGAGGCGCTGCCAACGCCAACCATGACCTGGTAGACCAAAAAGGAAAATGTCGAGTCTGCGAGTGAGGAAAAAAAACACAAAGAGGACGAAGGGTGACAAATAAATCATCGATCGGTTAGATGATGGTGGGGAATCTCAAGGAGAACAATGAAGCTGTGTTGAGTGTGCAGCTCTCTAAACCATGTCCAAGCCACACCCGAAGCATCGAGCCAGGGCGGGCGGGCAAAAGGTATTTCGTTAATCGTTTCTTTATACGGGGCTTTTGTTGTTTTGTAGTATTGACTGAGTATTCTCTGTGCGAGATGGAATAGTCCAGCCGATCCATCCTCTAGTCAATGGTCATCCTGCTTGCCATCTGGGGCTTGACATCTTGCATGCTGACAGAGTTGAGGTCAGTAGCCTTCTCAGCCTCACGCGACTTGAGCAGATGAGTCTTCAGGCCAGCACCGAAGTTGTTCATGCAGATGATAGCGTTGACAATGGTCAGGATGATGAGGAGGATAGTGATGACGGTGAAAGTAGTCAGGGACTTGCGAACATTCATGTAGTGTTGCTGGTAGCCGGGCTGGTAGATGCGGACGAGTTTAAAGACAAAGTAGCTGAGGGCACCGAGGTAGAGAACAATGACAGCGATCATGCCGGGCTTGTTCTCGCGGCGGGTGAAGTAGGCAGCGCTGATGAGAATCGCAACGGTGACGGGAATGGCGGCAGCGGTCAGGGCGTATTCGACGATTTCAATGTCGCCGACGATGACAAGGAACTGGACAGTGAACCCGAGGAAGAAGAAGAAGTCAAACTTCAGGAGCGCAATGTAGATCTGGTAGTAGAGGAAGCGTTGCTTCATGCGGTAGTCGGCGCCAATGGTCTTCAGGATATCCCAGGCGAACACCTGATACAGTTTCCAGGCGACAAAGCCCATGAGAACGGTGCCAAGAGAGAAGATGCAGGGGATGGCGATAAGGTAGGGTCGAATGTCCTCCCAGACGCTCTCGTGGCCGATCCTCAGGCCACCGCCGACACGCAGTTCTTCGACGGCGATCTGAATCTGCTCAATCTGGATGGCTGTGTATACCATCAGGGCGAGGTTGGCAATGCATACTCCAATGATCTGAATAGTGTTCTTGGCGCGGAGGGCATCCCAAACGAGAACGAGCTCGTAAAGGAAACCGAAGATGAAGAGGGCCAGGAAGGTTGGGATGGTACGGCGCTGCGATTCGGTGGCAGGATTGTCGTCACTGGTGAGGCTAAACTGAAAGGTTGCGAAGACGTATCTAGAATGCACTGTCAGCAAAGGAGACCGGGCGAGGAATAATCAGCGGGACGCATACGCTTCAAAGACCAAACAGATGATGGCCTGCAGCAGAGTGACGAGGAAGAAGGCTCGGGGCCATTTCGACGACATGAAAGAGAACCAACCACCCTTGGTGCTTTTGGGACTTGAGCCGTTCATTGTCGAGGGTGCGAGTCCTTCGCGGTAGGCGTAGCCTTGGTTGTAGTCCTGGTTGAACGTGGGCTGCGGAGGGGGGATAGATGCGGCCGGCATGGAGTGTGGCGATTGATGGTAGACAGGCTGCTGCGGAGCGTAGGCTGGCTGTTGGGCGAGAGCGGATTGTGGGTATGACGATGGCTGGTAGTGTTGGTCGTACTGGGGTTGATCGAATTGCTGCTCGTACCCTGCGTGCGTCGGGTCGCTCCCGAGCAGCGAGTGACGAGATTCCAGTCTCTGAGCCACGGTGGCGGTGTTGAACGACTCCTCGTAGGAGTCGCGACGAGATGAAGAAGTGGTTGTTGCCCGGTTGGGCTGGAGAATGGAATGGCAGCTGATTCAGGCAATCGAGGCGTCGGTTGCGGAGGCAATGACGAACAGTCGGGAAAGCGAGCGTGGAGGAGTATGAGATCTTTTGTCGGAATGAAAAAAAAAAAATGCCCTTGTGGTTTGTCGAATGAAATCGCCGTCGGGGTGTTGCGGCGTCGTCGTCGTCGTCGTCGTCGTCGATGGAAAGAACGCACTGTTGATGTTGGTGGGAGTATGTGAAAGGTGAAGCGTCGTACGGCTGAAACACAAGGGAGCCCCGAGTAGTTTGGGGTCTGCGACGGGTTACGGCTTTGAGGGAGGGGAGTGAGGAGCGGCAGGAGTGGACGTGCAGTGGCAGGCGACAGACAGGCAGGTGAAAAAGGGATGCGAGGCAAGAACGAGCCAGGAAGGAGGGCCTGGGCTGGGGGCCGTGTGGGCCTTGGGGGCAATTTAGCCCGGCCTCTGCCGCCAATCCAGCGTTAGGTGAAGAAAGGTTGAGGGGCAAGGGCCAGAACAGGGAAGGGCCAGGGGGTGGTGGGGTGAGCCTGCCGCAGCCTGGCATGCCCGCCCGCCCACCTTGTGCAGCTCGTCCAGACCGGTGGGAATTTTCTTCTCTCACGTTTCCACCGTCTCGTATTGCTCGGGGAACTGCCGCCTTCAATACCAGCTTGCGATCCAAGCAACTTGTCGAGTCTAGCGACTATTCATTTGCTGAGATGACAGGCCGACAGCGCAAGACCCTGGGTTTGCGTGTGTCATTTGAGTCCTTCCTTGTGGACATTTTCTTGTGGCCATTTCTTTGTGAACAACTCGATCGGGAACGACCGGTGCTCGCAGCTGTTTCGACTCGGCCCAGGTACCTACGTGATGGAACGCAGCAAAAAACCTACTTTGGGTGTTGGGTGTCAGACATCTCTTTGTCTTCTCGACTGCGCTCGTCAGCTTGTCCGAGCCCGAATCATGTTGCCAAGCGACCACAGGAATTCTGCACTGTCAGAGCCACGTCGCATCTCAGACATCTGTGCACCTCAACCTGGTGCGGTGCTACTCATCAAAGAACAACTCACAATGCAATCAGAAGCCACCACCCCAGCCTCTTTCTTGACTGCCGTAGGGCTGTGCAATCACTAGTTTGTGGGCAGCCAAGGCACCCCGACACCCAAGAATAGCACCGCCTCGCTCTAGTCGCTTTATTCCATGTACTGCAGGGACCTCAATGCACACCTAAACTTATGTGCTTGCGCTATCTAGGTCGATCTTCTGGTGACGTACAGCCCACCACCACCCGACGCGCAAAGACATCATCAAGGCTCTGGTGGTGGTCTAGAAGGTTGGATCTGCAACCCACCATTGAGGACCAGGTCATGCTCTTCAGGTGGCACATGCACGATGAACAAGCTCGAGCAGGACACGACCCGATCCTGCAGGCTCACATATGAAGATCGTCAGTGTCGCGGATGCTGGTTACCCTTCGATCGAAACAGTTCGCTCCAGCCCAACGTTACCTGCCGTAGCTATCGTCGCTTAGACCAGACAGCAATCAAGGAAGGACGCTTGTCCAGGTGTGTTGACGACGATGTGGCATTGATCCGACATCATGAGCCTTTTCATGGGACGGAAAGGCGCAGTAACTCACTGGTGTTCCGTACAGCAATCCTCTGCGATTGCGGCTTAACACCCTCACGGTCGCGCGAGAGACGTCATGCAGATGCAAAGATAGCAGGGCATCGAGGTTGCATATGCTTCTTTCCTCCGGCTACCTTGCATAGGTAGGTAGACGGATCCTCACTGCCACCGAACCAACAACGCAGTACAGTCTCGAGCTAGGAGATGCTGTGTCTGCTTAGCGAGCAAAAGGCCCCTTGCGTCCGATGTCACGCTGTACCTGAACATAACTAAGCCCATCCGAGACAGAAATTAGGCTCACTCCAACTCTATCTGCCTGCACTGTACATATATCACAAAGGAGAGCACGGATGTCGCCCGACGGCATGACACCACTCGCAACATCCCTGAGTTGAGCTGCCGACGATGCCTTCTCTTTCTGACCGTTCTTCAGGGACGAGCCAGTGTCAAGAAACGCTTAAAATTCTTAAAACTTTTAAGAGGGTCGTTTCTCAGCTTAGGGATCTACAAGTGCGTACGGCAAACAACACGCCACTGTCTTAGTTGTCGGTAGGCATCTTCATCAAGCATCCTCATAACACGATGACTTATGAACCCTTTGCAGGAGCATCCCAGCATCCCCGGGTTTTGTTTTGCATTATGATGATTACCCCGTTACCCATCATAACCAGCTCAACTATGCATGTGATTGAGATGGAATGTCAATGAAACGCCTTCAACAAATCAAAATGATCGCGAAGTCAGGGACGGGGAAGAACTTGTGTCAAGTAAAGCAAAGTGGGAAAAGGCGCATGAGAAGATGAATACCAGATCAACTAAGGTTCGTCATC